CTGCAGGAGCCCTCGGAGTCCCTGAAGCTGCAGGAGCCCTCGGAGCCCCTGAAGCTGCAGGAGCCCTCGGAGCTCCTGAAGCCCCCGGAGCCCCTGAAGCTCCCGGAGCCCCCGAAGCCGAACGGCCGCGGAGGCTTTCAACCCCGACGCCGCCGCCACCCACCCCGCCGCCACTATGGCCAACTCCGCCACCCACTCCGCCGCCTGAGCCGATCATAAGGCCGCCGAGAATCGACCCTTATTACTACTTCGGCCACTTTCCAGAACCCAAGTATGCTACACGCAGGGTCTTCTTCCCGCCGCTACCGTCGTATAAGGCCAACTCAGGTGGGGTTTTCCCAAAGCACCTCGTGCTCCTATTCCCGAAACCGAAAAGCGGCTATCCCGCGGATTATGATCAACCGTACACTCGATGAAAAATCTCACTCTGGATAGGTCAAACGATGTGGAAAGTCGCTTTCGAGACTCTCAATTTGGCGAGGGTGATGAGAATATACGGATTGGCCAGCTTGGCTGAGCATTTCAAGAAGCCTCCACCCACGAGCAAGTCTAAGGTCGGGAAATCTCGTTCAGGATATCCCTCATTTATGGAGAGTAGCCAGAAGTTCCGGGAGGTTACCGGGAAAGGCACCCATGGTGTTAAGGAAGGGGGAGCTGCTCTCCGAACGAGGTCTATGTATGAGGAACGGAAGCTCCCTCCAACGCGAAACTCCAGGAGTTCGAAGTAGTACAACCAGAGCTGCCGCCCTTCCATCGATCTTTCTATCCACAGACGAAGAGCTTGCTGCAAATCTTAGATCCGGAACGACGACGGACTATCGTGGAGAACATCGCGAAGCTAGAATTAGATAAGGATTCGTTCGTGGCGCATCTGGAAAATTCCGAGTTGCCTCCGCTACTCTTCGGGAAGGTGGGGCTCGATATCACGCGGACTCGGGCTCCCGTTGATTATTCCGTCGATCAGACGCAGAGCGTGCGAGAGCTTTGTGAGGCTAGTAGGTGAGTGACGCTCACTTGTCTCACGCAGGTGCACGCGGGTCAGGGAGCTCTAAGTACCAAGGACGGGAAGGGCATGCTACAGAAACTTAAGCTATTAGACGCCATTCTTCCGACCGACGATGAGGTAAGATGGCCTTCCGAACTTCCTCTTCTCCAATCCGACTGGAGGGAGATATACTTTTTCGATGGGGAGCGCAATGAGATCCAATAATTGCTTGCTGGTCTCAATTTGATCTCGGATGAAACTGTATTCTCGGTCGGCATTTCTTTGAACAGCAGTCTCCGAAGACACGAAGCTCGCCGGTAGATTACTAGCCTCATGAACCAACTCATCACTGCAGGTTGAAGTTTTCAAACATTCAGAATGCTCCTTGGATTACCTTTCGGAAGAAGAACGTTTTCTGTACCGAGTTGCGTCGATACCGGGCTTCCGACCCAGCGTGCTGGCGCTGTCGTTCGATGTCATTTTCGACCTCCCAATAATGAACCTACTCCAACGCTTGACAGAATACATCGATGTCTGCGATTGGCTGATGACCGATGCCAACATACATGTTGTGTTAATCAACTGTCTGACGGTTCTGAATTATGTTAACAATGTAAGTTTGCTTTCTTCGGGAAACATTGAGGCCGCGAAATCAATCTATCCGATCTCATACGGAAGTGTTCAGAGTCCGAGAGATGCTTCCGAGGAGATACTCAAAAACTTGCGGTGGCAAATTCCAGAAGCATGAGATTTACCATTACGGATTCGATCTGGAAGTCATGGAATCATGCATCGAAGTGAAGTCCACGGGAGGCCAATTGAATTTGCTAGACTGCGCCGTCTGGCCATTCGTCGATCTCGAGAAAACGGCTTTCGAAGAATTCGCAGACAATTTCCTCGAAGGCGCTCAAATTTTTGAAAGCATTGATCTCGAAGAGATTCGAGAGCAGAAGAATTATTTGAAAGAAAAAGTGCGCGAGCTGATATCAAATTTGGACCTAATCCCCGCCGGTCAAAGGGAAGACACAGCGCTGTTCATCAAGGTGAGGAATCCCGACTGAATCCCATGCACGTGGAAATTTTTCTGGACTCCCGATGAAATCTTCTGAGTCTATCTCTGTCCCTGTTGTTCACACGGGGTGGGCATGTTGCATTTTCTGACAGTACGTGGAGGCGAAGCTGAGATGCCTGGTCAGAGTTCTGAGCGATGCTCGGAAGAAACAGGAGGAAGTCTGCCTTTACTTCTGCGAGAGGCAGCTACCGGAAGATGATATGAACGACACGCTCCTCAAATTTGATACAGTACGATTCCGAGAGAAAATTCTCACCATGGCCATCGGAGTTTTCCAAAGTGTGAAGGTCTGTGCATTCGATAGTTCGCCGAATTCCTCGCTGTGGGACGATAATTCCCCGGAAATACTAGGTCTGTGTCCATGCAAGAGACTGCCAGCGTGATTCGGGTCCGATTTCCGCAGAAACGCAAATTTGAACCTGCCGTAGAAGAGATGTTCTCCTAGCAGAGCGTTGAGAAATGCCGGGGCCGAAGGCGGTCTCAATCATCCCGCCTGCGGCGCCGGCGTGAGAGCAACAACATCGCTTCAAGAGCAACGACTGCGGAGAGTCATCGAGCATCCACAACAGGCGAAGTCGTTCCTCCGGCCCATGTCTCGGTGGGATCCGCATAAATAAATTTCTAGTGTCATCCAGCAAGACATTGAGGTCGTCCAGCAAAAGAAACAACACTATGCTTTGCCCAAAGGGCATACCTGCACATGTTGTATTTGCATCGTCCGCCTGATTGGATTTCATGGAGAAGTCTCGATCGATCCGGAGTCTATTTTGCTGGGGTCCCGAGAATAGGATTCTGTCTGCGTCGATTGTCTTCGATTCACCGATGCTGATTCTGTGAACGGAAAGAGCTCCTCCTCAAGGTTCGACTCAGGACGTCACTTCCGACTATTCTCAGTCGAAGGCATCTTCGCTATCGCGAGCTCCCGCCTACCGCGACATGACGGCCCTAACTGCCTGCCCATTCAGGTAGATGATCATATATCCCATCAAGGAAGACAAGCTCTCCCGGGGAACTGATGGTAGGAATTGCAGCAGCGCGGTTCCGTGAGCGGAGCTGCGCAACCTTGGATACTCGGAGAGAGAATCGCGGTTACTCAATTGAACTACCCCCCCCCCCTGGCTTGCGTAGGGGATAAGCAACGAGACGAACTCTCGATAGACGTGTCCAGAGGAGAAGCATTAGAGTCAACCCGTCAGCTGCCTTCCTTTGCATCCCTGAAGAGGTTTTCTGATCGCTCTCTCATCAAGGGCGGACGGACCTCGTAGCGACACTCGGGGTCGCAGCAGACTCGGGACCCGTATCGAGCCACGGGGGGGGGTCTTTGTGCTCCGTGGTCTCCCTATATTGATGGTCTCCGCCGCTCCAGGCTCATTCCGCGCGGCCAGCTGAGGAGCTAACTCACGGAAAACTTCGTTGCAGGAAGGATGTATGCGGTAGATTCCTCCGCTTGTGATGCTTTGGGTATATGGATATATTTATTTTGGATGATTCTTTCCGCATATATTATGTGTTCGAACGCGTATACCTACGGGACATTTGACGTGGATGAAGTTAGCTATTCAGGAGGTCTCATATGATTTATACGTCACAGTCTCCGCGCTAATGCGCGCTGATTTTGATCGCTTCCGCTTCAACACGATGCAGAGGAGTATAATGACCATAACAGTGAGGATGCCGACGCTTGATAAGGAGAATAGCAAGATGACGTCTGTTTCGTTCTGGAGGCTGAAGTCCGCGAGCCTCCGCAGGAATGCGTACCAAAATCGGGAGGTAGAAAATCCATCCTCAGACGATGATTCTTCAATGACTGCGGAGCTCGAGTTAGACTCTTGGGAACCGGTTCGCACCTCGATCGAGGCGGTCTCGGATGTCATCGAATCATCGTCGCGGCCGGAAATCATTCCGTCTGCCGTCGTGTTCTCGGAACCCTCTTCTGCTCCGGAAACACGACTATCTTGGGAGAACTTCTCCGTAGAGGATGGACTTACTGGTTCAGTGGTCGCTTCTACGTATCCCGAGCCACTCACTTCCTCTGTTGTCGAAAAAGCTTCTCCGGGTAGGACCGCTGCCCCTGTTGTCGAAAGGGTCTCTCCGGGTCGGACCGGTTCTTCTGTTGTCGGGAGAGCTTCTCCAGGTCGAACCGCTTCCTCTGCTGCCGAAACGGTCTCTCCGGGCAGTTCCGCTCCTTCCGTGCTCGCAGAGACTCCTACGGGCTGGGGGATCCTCTCCGTCGTCGATTCGACTTCTTCCGGTCGGACGACCGCTCTTTCCCCGACCCGGATAAATTCGTAATCGACCGTGAAGGTTGAGTAGGCTGCCGCAACGTCATCCGCAGACACATTGAGTATAATCTTGAGAAACGAGGCTCGAGTCCTGTAGCGAGATCCTCTCCCAGAAGTTTTGATGCGACTTCTTCCATCGGTGAATGCCAATCCGCGACTCCTGGAGTCCTTCCGGTAGCCGAGTTTCGACGAATCATATCTCGGAATGAATTCGACGAAGCTCCCCGCTGGTGCCCTGATGACCCATCTACAGTCGTAATTTTCGTTCTTGCGGTGGTGGAAGGATAATCGACCAGAGAACTCGTCGATTTTCTCGATTCTGGGACAATTCGATCTTCTTTCACACCTCGGAAGGGGCGCACTCCACTCGACTGAACCGTCGGAGGAAACTTCACAAGAGAGTCGGCTTTCGCCAATCAGAGCATAGTTGGACCTTCTGAGGCATTCGAGCTCAAGGCTCGAACCGATTGTCTCCATCGCGCCATCCTTGCTCTTGATTGCCAGGGGAGGTGCGATCTCGAGCGGCGGACAAGTTCTCTCGACCGTTTTGAATCTCAGATGGAATTTGGAAGTATTTGTGAGGCGAAAGTCGATCGTGATCTCGCTGCTCTCGATCACTCCACCGAGGCACGGGGAGCAACTGCTGTCGATCTGCCACGTGTTCTGATTCGCTGACATCCGCAAGAAATCTCTTCCGCCTTCGAGTGAGGCGAGATCCACGCTCAATCTGAGCAACTTCCCGGCGGGGCTCCTGAGAGCGGTCCTGCAGGATTCTGAACGTTCGAAACCAGCGGGCATTTTTGTGCGCACGATGAGACCATTATTCGTTGTCAGAGGAGTTTCGAAGACACATTCGCGCATGTTCTCATCCTCAACTCCGGTGTGCTCCTGTATGGCTTGCGGGGAAGCGATCTTCACGGACAGAATAATCAGAACAAGAAATCGGATGATGTGTCGAACTTGTCCCATTGCCCCCGAAAATGTTCAAGAACTCACGAGACGGAGATCCGGTTCCCCGGAGTCGATTCTCCTGCGGAAGTATCGGTATCGGAAGTGTGCCCGATGCCCAGCGCAGGTGTTCGGTCCAGAATTGCAGGAGAAAACTTTGTCTTGTTGGTAGACGCACTTTCACGGCGAAGAATCCAAGGAGTTTTATGGTAGCTTATTGAGCGCACGACTAGATGAGCTCACGGTCAGGTTGCGACTGATTGTGAGACTCGGTCGGGTGACTTCGAACCCGGTTATCAGGTGAGAAGACTCTTACCCACCCTCTCAGCGGTCCCTGGAATGTGGGTTTGAGAATATCTCTTTCGGAATTCCATGGGACCCGCTCTCATGGTAGCCTTCGCAGGGAGTTCGGACCGCCCCAGCAGTTGCGAACGAAGACACCTGTTCGGTCAAGCTCACGGCTGGGTCGTTCCGGAGTGAAGGCGCGGCTTCGGGTGGGTTGATCTCGAGTTCGCGAAGCCGACACTCCTGCACTCGTCCGGTCTCGCGACTTCTCGTCAGCACAGGATCGATTTTAAGATACTGATGTCCTTGAAGAAACTCCCATATTCGTTTTCCTGTCGAAAGAGGATTCATTGGTTCTGGAGGACAATCATGTCTCCTCATTTATTATCATATGAAAGCATCGTGCTCTGATTCACTAATTAGAATGATTCCAAGCTCACAGGCTCCCAGACAGTCCGAGGACCTCTGGCGGGTTCGGTCGAGATCGTTGGGAATAGAATGAAGCGCTCCACGGTGCGAAACCGCTCCGTCACACTTTTACCGCCCCCCTGAACGTTGCGCTCCCTGGAATTCTATCCACGAAGACTCATGTATATGAGAATTCACAGTATGTAGGAATAAGAACTGAGATCCGTCCGAATTTTTGCTTGAGAAATCTCGGCCAGTGTAAATAACGCTTCCGAATCGGGCTGATGCCGAGGGGTGTGAACCTAGCCCCTCTGTCAATTAGAGAAAGACCCCCAAGAATTTAGCCCCAATCGAAGTTGGCGGGTGCTCAGTCGGTTTCTGATGGGCCCATATTCGCGAGGTATCGAGATCGTGTTTGGTGTCTCCGGTCCGTCGACTCAATCTCCCCGCTTTCTCAAAGCATCCTGATCGAAGGAATGCAGCATCACCATGAGGCGTCTCTGCGCCGTAATCCTGAGCAACCCTCGGGAATGTTCTGCGGCCTGCTGTCCGGGGTGCGTCTGAGATAATCAGTCGTTATGCCGCCCCAGAAGTCGAATAAAGAAGGTCGCGATCTAAGCAGGAGATTTGGTCTGCTCTCGCTTCACGTCGCGTCGGGCCCCACGCATCGATGCCATGAAAGCGCAAATCCATGGATAGTACCGATGCCTCTCCTCGACAGGATTCGCTTTCAGGTCAGATGGGACCGGAGATTCTGCCGTACACTAGGCGCATCCTTCTTTGCAAGGAGTTGCCACTGGGGGTCCGTGGGGATCCGCGATGTCCCGCGACCCGCGATCGGTTCGTTTTGGCCATTGGCAGCCAGTATTGGGCGTTGCATGAGCTCTTGAGAAGCTCTGCGCTGTTCCCCCCGGCAGACATGCTGAAGGAGACGCTCCTAATCAGAAAGTGCCGCATAGAAATGCGGGAATCATTGTCCTGTCTCCAGGCGCGTAGATACGATTGTTTTTGGGGAGCCAACTTAGGTTCCCGGGAAAAGGGCGGTGCAAGGCTCCCAAATGAGGACGCGCCTCCTCAAAGCCTGTGCTTGAGCGCCATGAAAAAAACTATTACCCCTGTATATTCGCTATTGCCTATCTCATAGAGATCGGCCGTCTTGGTAGAACTCGGGGACTTTTCTTTTCGATGAGAAGGGCCGATGAACCCTCTTGGGGATTCATGACAACAGAATTGGGACGCTGGCACGTGACTCGTCTCGATGGCCTTCGCCGAGTTTAGAAGGTTTCCAGCGGTCTAGGCTTGTTTCACGATCAGGAACCTCTGGCTCCCTCGTCCACCTCGACTTCCATCGCTTGCGATCGCAGTCCCGGTCCGAATACTTTCAGCCTGGGAGGTCTTCCATGGAACACTCGGAACCGGCTTGAGACAAACTCATACGGTTGCGCGATAATTGATGATTCTTCGAAAAGCATTGGACTGAGCTCTGCCACATGAATTGGTTCCATCTCGTCGCGAGTAGAGAAACACGCAACGCAACGAGCAGTGGTTCAGAAGGCGATTCTCTCCCGAATGAAAGACTGCCCCCATCGGGAAGAAACTCGCGAATTTCCATGTGTGCGCCCGAATGAGAATTAAGTACTCGGGTCTCGTGTGGAGAAGCGCACGCCCTCTCTCGAAAGATGAGGTTGGCCGTCGGAGTCGGAATTTGATTTGGACGTCTGGTATACGTGAATACGTCGGCTCTCCCGAGCGGTAAAATCTCATCATCCGATCGATAAAATCGTTTGGCTCCCCAGACTCCGGAGTGAGATCCGAGTCCTGAAAAAGCTATCAGCTAATGAAACCATCAAAGCTGAAATTCGGCGATTAATGTACCACATAATCGAGGAGCAGACGAAGATGCGAATATGTGGTGTACCGCTCAGCGCGACTGGGGTGAACTGCCTCCGGGACCGCGCGTGGCACTCTTCGGACGGCCTCATGTTTTCTCCGAGTACATTCGGGGATGCGTCCATTAATTAGTGCCACAATCAACAGAGAATGGACGGGTTGTGATACGGAGGCGTCCGATTGACGGAGAGCGATCGAATGATTGATCGAATCACAATCGAGAGCAGACGAATTCATGAATGTTGTGAGCTCCTTCCTCCGTCCGAGTACATGTCCAGTGCTCACGTCATGCGCCCCGTCAAATCGTCGGCCGCGTCGCCGTTCTGTCTGGCTCAGCGGAGGAGACGAGCCGAGGTTGGAAGGGCGAGCTCTGATTGAGTGCTGTCCGTCTCAGTCGGTGTTCCTCCGATAGACTTCGAGTTAGGTTTGACAACGATTCGCGCGACGTCGGTAGCCTCAACATCTGCAGAAGCTCTTCTCACATCGGTCAAGTTTTGTGTGCTGTTTACTTCCTCCGGCATTCATCATTCGAATCCGTGAGCTCCGCAACAGGTGATCGCGCCTGCCAACGGATTCGGGGTGCGGTCCCGGATCCCGTGGTGTTTGTCTGTGCCTGATGTTCTCCTGCAATGACCCGAAGATGTCGTCGTCGTGGGAAGTGCTGGAGACCGACCCCGATCTCCTTGACAAGTTGAGTCAAAATTTACTGAGTGTTGAAGATCTCGCCAAGTCTCTGGAGCAGAGAGGCTTACTTCGGAGCAATGTCATAGATGGCGCCGGGGCTATCTGTGGAAAGTATACCATTCGGCAACTAATCGAAGAGATCGTGACCAAAGATGAAGATTCATATCGTCGCTTCAAACGGACCCTCATAGAGAACGGAGAGTACGACGCGGTGGAGCTCCTCCCAAATGTCTTCGTCCTAGATTCCCAGGATGATGTCCCGTCTGCGAGAGCCAACGAAACAGCACAGTCCCTTTCGTGCACCTTAGATCCTACTCCTGATCCACTCCCTCTCCGAAGCATCGGATCCCCGTTCTCGCCAGAGAACTCCTCCATATTACCGTGGAGAAGTCCGACCGGCTGCAGAGAAAGCCGAAGGGAAACTGTCGGAGCCATCACCTTCCCGGGGCGGCCGAGCTCGCCGGCGACGGCGGACTTGCCCGACAAGATCATAGTGAAGAAAGCGCGGGCTATCAAATCCGGTCCCAGGATCTATGACTTGACGAAAAGTCCCCGCGGCCTCTGTGTGATATTCAACAATCGCACCTTCCCGGGCTTCAGGGAGAAGGACAGGCTCGGCTCGGAGTTTGACGTAGAACGGATGCGTATTCTTTTCGAGGCGTTCAATTTCACAATCGAGATTCACAGGGATCTTCCATCTGGCGAGATGCTGTCCCGGCTCGCGGAATACGCTGACGGGGCCGCGCACGAGGGCCATCAAGCCTTCGTTCTCATTCTCATGTCGCACGGCGGGCTCGATCACATTTATGGCAGTGACTACAATGCGGTCAATCTACAGGACATCTTCGAGATGTTCAACAACTTCAATTGTCCTGGCCTTCGAGAGATCCCTAAATTATTCTTCATCCAGGCCTGTCGAGGAGACCTGCCGGACAACGGCACGTCTGCGCGGGATCGATCGACGTGCTCCGCCGACGGAGACCAAGTTCAGAGCGACGCGGGTGCGTACCTTGATCGGGGCGATTCAGGTCTTGGCAATATTTTCCCACTCCGGTCGCGGCGGATTTCTTGCTGGTCCGATATTTATATCGCGTACGCAGTTGTCGGAGGTTATGAATCCTTGAGAGATCTCAGATCGGGGAGCTGGTTCTTGAAAGCAGTTTTTGACGTCATGGCACGTCATGCTCACGCCGAGGATCTCGACACGCTGATGGAACGTGTTTCGGAAAGGGTTTTAGAGAAAGTTCGCACAGATGGTCAGAGACAGTGTCCGGAAGTGACTAAGATCGGATGGAGGAAAAAACTTTTCTTCAATCCAGGCCTGTCGGAGTAGAACCTGAGGGTTTGCCAAGATCCCGTCGTTCTAGATGCCGAGGTCAAAAGGCCTCAAACCACAAGCCAGGGCGAGAGCCCGCATGACAGACAACAGTGATCCTCATGTCAGCTAATTCCTCGGGCGCAGCCTGTACCGTTATGGTTTCTGACATTGCTCGCTTGCCTACCGGCAAACTCAATCGCTCGATGAGCCTCATCCCCGACGGATTCTAGTACAAGCGTATGAGTGCGGACACAGAATGCGATTGTTCCGAAGTTCTTTTGACATCGTGATATTTAGAAGGTCGGACATTGATAGAAATCGAAGTCAATGGCCCGAGTCTTACGAATGTCCTGAACGGAGGACGTGATTGTCTTCAACAGGGAATGTTTGGAGTGAGTTTGTTGAAATGAGAGCGGGAAGGAATGTCTTAGGTCGATATAAGCGAAGCCAAAAAAATAATAGAATGCTGACGGCCAGATTAGACCCGGAGCGGCCCGTTAGCGGTTCTCGGGCGAGGAGGAGCCACAAGTTCAAACTCGCTCAGGCTCGATCGGAGCTCCAGACACTGAAGAAAGGGAATCAGGAAAGCCTCAACACAACTGAAAACGCGTATTCTGGCCTCCGCGAGAATTCGCGAGAGTCGGTCAGAAGAGAACTCTGCGAATTTCAAACATCACCGACAAGTCCGCTTGTTTTAGCCGAAAAAACCCAATGAAGCCGGGTGCCGATCAGAGTCTCGGCACAGAACACACCCCAGAACCCCGAAGAAAAGCGACAACATGCCCGCTTTCCGGTTCCCCATCAGCCAAGACGAGGATACTACACATCAGAAGAACTCCGTGAACAACAGTTCATAAATACGGGGTCTTGCGGAAGAACTCCGTGTACAATCGCTTGTAAATACGGGGTCTTGCAGAAGAACTTTGCAGGAGCGTTCCAGAAAAAATCGGCCAACACAGGTCCCCCGGCCTCCTCCGCGCGAAAATCGGGACTTGCAAGACAAGAATAGTGATATCGTCAACCGACTCTCGAAAGGGCCGAATGAACGACTTGAGTGAGTCGGAGTATCATTGGAGAACCCGGATAAAACATCCCCATACGGAGATTCCGTGGATCGTTCGCCCGGGCTCCAAACAGAGAAATACTGATGAGCCCGAAAGGAACTCACGCGGAGATAAACGACGACCAAATCGCCAGACACATGGTTGACGAGATCGCGGAGGTGGAACGAGACCCAGGCGAGCGCAGACTGATGAAAGTCGCACGGAGCTTTCGGAAAAATGAGATTGGGACAGAAGACATGCTCTTTCGGAGCTAAATAATTCATCCTTGTGGGATGTTCGTGATAAGCACGGAGAATTTGAACACATGAATGCGGTCGACGTCAGAGATCGAGTCGCGCGGAGCTCCATCCGGTTTATCCCGACGGACTCTGCAATGAGAGTATACGGCTTGTTTTCGTTAATCGACGGAGCACCGGCAAGATAAGCGAATCGTCAGGAGTCAAGACCATACCCGGTGAGCTGAAGGAACGTCCTCACCGAGATCTCATCAACCGTTGCCCGATGGGAGCATTTCCCGTGTAATTCCCATCGTTTTCCCGGAAGGTGCAGCTATACAATCGAAGAGCCGATCGTCCAAGAATCTGTAAGATTGACCGCCCGGAGTAGTTCTTGGGTATCACTGGAATTCTACGGAGAAGATGTTAAGCAGGTTCGAGATGTTTCTTCGGTCGAACAGGCTCCCACAGAGCTCGCCAAGCTGCTCGAGCACAATCAATCAGTGAATAGACCATCAATGAACAACTTAATAATAAACGACTTTGTACACAATAAATCAGTGGGGTTCAGGAGGAAGGTGGGATCCTCGAAAAGCAGAAGTTTTGTGTTTTCCAGCGGAAATTATCGACGGTCAGAGGTTCACCGGAAAGTTTCACGGCAATCTATGGAAGAGAAACTTGAATTCCCCAGCTCGTATGGATGGAGCAAACTGCCGACCAGTCGTTGGGCTAGCTATGATCGTGGGAATATCACGGGCGGTAATCACCAGACTTACGGATCCCGATGCTTGAATCACCACGAGCTGCCCAGAAGGCGGAGGTACTCTGCGGCGCGAACAGCGCATGGGAGCAGCGACGATTGGGGAACCTCGTCAGACTATCCTCGTTTCTGAATCGTACAAACGGATCGCGAGCAGCCTCAATCCATTACTTCCGACGAAAAGCCGGAAAGATCAGATCCAATTGAGATCTCTCCCCTCTGCTAGAGGCTCCCGATCTGCTGACCTATGCGGTCGCGATGACGCGAGGAGGTGCAGATTTCAGAGGACCGACATGGAGCTGGAGCCGAGAAGCGCATTATGCTCGTGGGTTTGTCGCTGGATCATGACGTCGAGCATGTATGGACCACGTAATTCGAGGCACGGAAAACACTGTGAGACACAACAACGGGGCTGGCAAGGACCGAACAGCATCAGAACTTTCTCCGCTCGAGTCTCTTCCTAGCATCGGTGCGATCTCCTTCATCTGAAACTACCTAGACCCTCCAATGGATCTTCAGCAGTTCCAGTCGATCCGGGTCAAATGCTGTCAATCGGAGATACTGAACCTGAAAAAAAGTCATCGCCCCCACCCACGCTTATTCTCCAACGCGCAACAATTACTCTTGATTCAAAAGAATAACTGCTACGAATGTACGATATGATTCAGGAGCATCTGAGTGGCACAGTGTCGTGATAATGCACATAAGCTCTCTGAATGAAGTCAATGGAACTAACCTTAGAGGAGCGCAGTATTCGGATCCGCTCCAATAGATACCTAGGAAACTTGTTACTCTGGGAGGCGACGCTCTCAAACGGTCGTGTGTATATGTATCCTCAACGAATCGGCAAGGGCTACGGACTTATTGTGAAATCTCTTCCCAAAGATGAGCATTTTCGGTCGACTTGAGCGACAGAGGATTGGCAACAAAGCCGTGAACTCCCAGAGACTCCTTCATCTTCATCATAATGTCTTTGTGTGAATGAATCGAGCTACGCGAGATAAAGTGACGCCTTGACTCGCTCACGCGTATCCTGACTGTGATGACTATTCATTTTGAACTTGGAACAAATAGTAGTGTCCTGGACGACTTACGGGGAACGTGGCCGCCGATGGTCAACCCCATCTCCGAACGAAGGTAAGTCAGGATTGATCAATCTACGAGCTTATATGAATTTCTATGGGACTACGACGTGAGGGCAGAGTGGAGGCCGAGGAGCCAGGCTGACGTAGGTCCCGGAATGTTCGACTGCGAGAGTCCAGCTTTCATCGCGGTAAGATTTTCGTCGACCGTCTGACAAGAGTCTTATTGGGTCCGTGAAATAAAACATTTAATGCCGGTCCGTGGAATCTTCTCTGGAGTCAGATGCAGCATGGAGTGCTTCGGAGGGGGCTGCAGAAAAGGGGTAAATACGGCCTGTGATCTCATTGGGCGATTTTTTTGGCTGCCTCCGAGCGGAGTTATGAGAGCGGTGCTATAGGGTGATCCGGTGGACATCAAGACTTTCCCTGAGAGTCGCAGGCTCAAAAGCCAGAGGGGCCTCCAATCGAACGCTTCTCCTCTGCGGGCACCGACCACATAATTTTCCTTGCGATTGACTCGATTTTGTCTTCGAAACCACTTTTACTCAACTTGTCCATCCTTATAAGAGAATGCGATCCATCTCCAAGGGGAGAATTCGCTGGGGTTCACAAGGGGTCGGGACATATCCGAGAAGGTCCACTGAGCCAACAACGCTAAGTGAGCACCCACAATCCAGGCGATTCAAGCCGAAAAGTGCGCGGCTTGCGCACTAGAGGTGGGGGAAGTCCTCGGATCTGAACCTCCTCTATGCGTCAGCGCCGACCTCGGTAATAAACGGATTGAGTCCTGGAAAGCATCTCTCCCGGAGCTCACTGAAGCCCTTGTTCCCTAAAGACAAACGAGTAATCGAATCCTGCTGCGGCAGGCACCCGTGGACGCCTCGGTAGGAAGGAAAAAAGAAGCTTTTCGTAGCGGTCTTATCTTCTCCAATAAATCCATTTCTTTATTTACAGCGATGGTCTCATCGTTTTCTAACTTATCAGATCACAGATTGCTGGAGTATAGAGATGAGAATCATCTCTGCCTCTCCGCCATAAGGAATTCCCTCGAGGTCTGATGTCAGTTTTTGGTAGGAGCATTGCAGTCGAGGATTGCTCTTGTCCCACCGCTCCGCACTGAATCGGTTCGCTGGTCGCTCCATTCCCTATCGACCACGAGATGCTCCGATCAAGTCAGGAATCTCTGCCGATCGACCAATGCATCGGGCGAGCACCGGACGGCCATGCAGACAACGAAACAATAATTGATGTCGCACCGAGGCTTTTTTTTAAATCAAGTAGGTAGCTGCGGTTCGAGAACAATATCAACGTCTCTAGAGAGCACCAGAATTCCTCACCATCTCCGTCAAGCATCAACCATGTACATCTCTCGTTCACCAAGTTCATCTTTCATCAAGAAGGATTCCGTTACCATACGGCAATTGATTTCGCTCGCCCTGGGCGGCTTTGCTTGCAGTTCCACGCGTCGGTAAAGCCGTTAATAAAGGGGATTAGGCGAGACTCACAAGAGGCTCCCAACGCGACTGACAAGGAACGCCATTTACGATGCTTCCGGGCAGAAGGACGGGATTTTCAGGAAGTTTCAAGTGATTTCAGAAACAGCGACATTACGCCAAGCGCAAGTTTCGAAGACGGATTGACGGATATCGAATGGATTGTCAGGCGCCGTGAAGCCGCCCAGGCCCGCCCTCTCTCCTGGGTCAACACTATATTTTACAGAATCCCGCGGGAGGGCGGCCCATCATCGATCAGTCTCGATGACCGAACATTGGGATAGAGTGGTCCGTTCGCGAGGGAATCCCCTCTTCTGTCTGGGATATCTTTACAATTCACTATACGTATAGGTCTCTTCACCGAATGCACTCTGTGTACACGAGAACTTGTCGTTCGCTTTCTCTTTACAAGATGATTCTACAAGCTCTTCCGCGATTGGACCAGAAAATGATTCCCTCATTCCGAGCTCAATAGTACAGTCCCGAACAGCCTTTCATCCATTCATCCTCTGCGGTTCACGTCCGAACCTACACGCGTAACAATCGTCAGGGAGCCCGGGCCTTAGCGGATCGACGAGAAAATGATCGATTCCTCCTTCGCCTCAGAAGTTGCCCGTGTTCGAGAAGAACGGATAGGCAGGATTGCCGAACTGCGACGGCGTCTTCGGCGACGCACAAGTGAATTGCATTTCTTCGCTATTCAGATAAGTTCGGTTGAGAGTTGGCTCTGATGTCGACCGATGAATTTTCGGGAGCGACCTCTTCAGGGACTCGAGTGAAGCAAGGATCTGCAAGGAGTTCAACATACAAATTAAAACCCGACAGGCGCTATGGCAGTGCCCCCTCCGCATCATCCGTCGCGGCTGGTATCGCTTCTCGTCATATCCGATAGCTCCAATCCGAAGGACGACCCCTTACCTGTCTGAACAGAGGTCGGTCTTCTCGTTTGTATTTGATGCAATCTTCCGTGAGTCGTATCAGAGCTTTCGGTGCATCTCTTCGAACTTTGCTCATGTCGGGCTTGAGGAAACCTTTCCCGACCATGAAAAGTATCTGGTCTTTGTTGTTGACGTTGCTGTACGGCAACGATTGTGTTTCCAGCTCGTAGAGCACGATGCCGAAAGCGTACACATCGCTCTGATATGAATAGGGGTTCGGGTCTTTCATATGAATCACCTCCGGGGCCATCCACAAGATCGAGCCTGTAGGTTGCGAAAATGGCGTGGAACCGCTCCATCGAGCTTTCACAGTCGCCAATCCGAAATCGCCGATTTTTACCGTCAGATCATCGTGAAGGAAAATATCTGCAACGAGGGAAAATTCTCGAATGATGACATTGGGGGATCCGTCGGGCAAGCGTCGCGAAAACGAATCGTCGTACCTCCAATAGCTACGACATGTTTCGGCGCGCTCAGACGATGCATTTTCGACTAAGACGGAGGACGAATGGGAATACTCACTGTTACTTTTGAGATCTCGATGAATGATGTTCTTCGCGTGTAAATAATCCATGCCCTGTGAGGTCTGTCGAGCGATGTCGATTATGTGCTGCAGTTCGAATCGAGTTTCCACGATATGTAGATGTTTGTACAGCGAGGATCCCTCACACCACTGGGTGACAATCGTTAGCTGTGGGTTGGACACACAGCCCATGAAGAGAATGATGCACATGTGTCTCGTTTTCCGAAGGACAGAAACCTCGTTCTTGAACGCTTGTAGCTGGGCGGGTGTGGGGTCGGTGACGTTGAGCTTCTTGAGAGCCACATGGCCGTGCCAATGGCCACGGTAAACTGTCCCAAATGAGCCCGAACCAATCCTGGGCCCGGTAAGTATCTCTTCCGGCAGTATCTCCCAGTCTTCGTTCGATTCCCGGGCGGCTTTCTGGTTGACAGCCTTCTTCGATGATTCGTCGGCCGAACGGGCTCTCGGACGAGGAATTTTATGCGACGATGTCGGAGAGCCCTGCGCACTCTGAGTCCGCGTGGGCGATGAGGAAGCCTGGCTGGAGCTGGGAGGAGCGAGGCCCGACGCTACAGGAAACAGAAAGAGCATACGTCAATTTTGAGGAGGGTCCTAGATGCGTTCAGGATCATTGATTCACGAGTCCGGGAGCTATCGCCCCGATATCCGATTCGCGATCAGGCAGGCTCCTCAGCGAGGAAGAGAAGAACGGCAAGGGAGGCAATGAATGTTGGGGGCGAGGGATCGGCAGAAATTCATGCGGATGAACGAAAAAAGGGTAAACAAAACAAACCTCGGTTAACAACTCTGTTATTCACAATGAGTTTTTGGCTCGCGGAGGAGTTGTTCCTCCTCTGTAGCGCTCTCCTGCCGGAGACTTCCTTGCGGCGATTTCTGCGGCCGGTCGTTAAGTTCTGGTAACCCGACGTGATGGTGCTGCCTAGACTGGCTGTCAGGTCACGTTTCCCATTGAAGAAGAAATCGAATTTCGTCGCGTTGCTCGACGTTTGACCATTGGTGTGGTGATTCCGGGAACCGTGTCGATTATTGTTGATCATTGTGTCGTGGACTCGGTTTTCCGAGTTGATTTGATTGTTGCTGTCGAAATTCTGGTTGCTGCTGTTGTTGACGAGGCGGATGCTACCGTTGTTGTTTTCGTTGTTCTTATTGTTGTTGTTGACCTTGTTGTTAAAGCTCGCGCGTGTCTTAGTGTTGTAGCTGTAGTTTTTGCCGTGACTACCGAGGTTCGAAGTAAATTTGTTGTTGTTGTTGATGCTGTCTTTGTAGATGGACGTTATCGTTCCATTACTATCGAGATAAGTGTTCACACCACTTCGTTGATTCGTGTGAGCATCGTCGATACTGTGTCTATTGTTGTTCGCGGAGATGCTGTTCCAAGAAACTCCAACATTCCGAATGGGGGACGGAACAGCGTTCTGACCGCGCGGCAGAGGCGGGGGAGAGTTTTCTACGGGACAGGGATGAACAAAAAAGATTGAGAGCGAGAACCGAGGAAATATGGAAAACTCAAAACAACCGGAACTCTGAGTGTCACGCATGATGGATCCCGATCCGTTATCTGAGGCTTCTTTCGAATTCCGGAGCAGGATTCCAACAGTGTCACTGAGAGCCATCCAAGAGTCGGGATCAGACCGTTCCCTCATCATGAGATCGGGCGCTTCCCATTCAAATTCAACCTCTAACGAAGAGTTAAGGATTACCTGGAGACGAGTAGACTTGTTTGAATCGAGGGAAGTCGGAGAAATCCTGGTTCACTGCGTTGTAAGAGACATTCGGTGCCGAAGTTGATCTTTCGCGTTGCCCCGTGAGGTTGCTTTCGGAGCTGCTGCGATTCAGATTCCCCGCTCGCTGTAGGTTGCACTCTTCCATGAATGGGATATAAGAACTCGGCGCTGGCTCCAGACCATCTTGCAAGGCTAACAAACTGTGAAGAAAGCAGGAGATGGACCACCTTCAAAACATCCGACTCCGACAAATTATCGCTTCGTCGCGCCGGCTGGGTATATTGAAACAGGGGAGGATATTCGAACTTACTGCTTCAAGTATTGCTGTTCAACACCCAACGGTTGACAGAGCGCTGGTACGGCATCCGCACATCGCGGATGGAAACGATAGCCACAGGTTTGGCATCTAAAGCCGTGAAACAATAATTTTCGACAACATTCACAGAACACCAATGAGAAAAACGTTTTCCGAACGTAATTGTGCGAGATCGAAGTGGCGATGGGATACTTGTCTCGGATTTTGACGCAGATCTCTGTGTCGCCTTCGAGTTCACCCATGTCCGTGCTCCACTCGATCATTTCGCCGGTGGCTTCCTTATAGACGACGCACATCTCCGGACTGAGTTTCCGTCTCTTCATCGCTTTGGCGAGTGCTTCCATCACGGTCTGGCCGGTTCGTACTTGGATTGTAGTGTGCTGCTCATTGGGAAGTTGAATCCGAACCACACTTCGCATTGGGGATCGGGGTGCGTCGCCGTTCCGAGATCCTGTCTCGTCCGGACTCGTGTTGCCGGTCGGAGAGCCCAGGGCGTCGACGATGTCCGACTCGTGCTCTTGAAAGTCTTCGAGAATCATTGCGAAATGTTCGTAATCGTCGAGGAACCATTTTGGGATGTCTCGGCTCTTGATCACCTGTTCGCTGAGGCGATTCAGATCGGAAATCGCCTCCTGGGCTAGCGAGTCCTGAATGGCTGCTATCTGTAAAGATCGCAAAGAGAGCTTATGTTCACGGTTCCAGTTTTGACGCTTGACGCACGGCGGAATGCACTTGGTCCAGACCGGGAAGCGGAATGCAGGCTCGTGTTTCCCTATCATGGGCCTCCAAGGAAACGGTGGAAATGCTGCTCACGGTAGGGATTGCGTGTCAAGCGCTTCCCCTTCTCTATACTCCGGGAGCACTAGAATGGAGCTCGCGTCTTCCATTGAATCATTCACAATGTGGATCCGGCCACCGTGAATGCACAGAACTTTCGAAGATATTGGAAACCCAGGCGTGGAGCCGGGAGCTCAGTTCGCGGAATTACGGACGGGCATACGAGACGATTCTTCTATGTGGAAAAAAACTATTCCCGCCGACTGAGAGCTTCTGAGCGATCATACTCGAATGGGCATTCAGTCAGACTGAATCAGAACAAGCATGAAGACAATCAAAAGATATTCCATTTCGATCGAGGCTCGCTTATCGGGGGAAAAGACTTGGAGGGTCAACATTTCACAGTTCGGGTCATCAGAGTCATTCGCTTCCGAGAACATTTCGGAGCTTCAAGGGGGGTTCAGGGATGGGGCACAAGTTCACGAGGCGGGAACGATCGACTCCCATTCGTGATCTCTCCGCGATGAGATGAAAAAACATCCCAGCAGCTCAATGATACGAGAGAATTCTGACTTCTGGCGAGATCAGAATTATTTCCCTTGACTACCATCCATTCTTCCGGAACGGTTAAAGCTCATCATCATGTTGCATTCAGACCCGGTGGCCGAGCTCTCCGGCGATGAATGGCTCGGGACATCCAGATGTTCGATTCAACCTTCATCCGAATCGAATACCTTCTGACTGATAGTAGGTTCTCACTTTGAAGAGCTGTCTTATTCTGCAGAGACCTCTCCTGATCCAAAGAGTATCTCCATGATGCATGCAATATCGCAAAATTCGTGTCAACTGTCCCCGAACCATCCCGAGGAATACAAAAGCGCTGTTGTTATTCATCGATGAATTGCTTACAGAAATTTCGTCCGGGACCGCGGTACCGTTCGTAACATGGGCCATGGTGCATGCTGCGTCGTTCGCACTTCGCTTCCGCTAAAGTCTAAGGGGGCATCGTCTCCGAGGGTCTCACGTCGACCTCAACGATGAGGACCGGCTCCTGAACACCATTCAGATATGCTACAGTCGAATCTGCACTCTGATTCTCCTGCATACGTGATCGCTTTTCACTCGATACGGAGCTAACTTCCCACCACGAAAACCGCTGTTTGCTCCTCATACTCCCCGCCAAAACAGAACAGATCAGGGAACTTTGAACGATGGCGGTCCGGATCAGAGGCCGGACCTGCCAGCTTGTCTTGAGGAAGCTCCCGCACAGAACAGGGGCAACCCCTCTTCTGCGTCCTCGGGGAGGCAGTTCGAGATCTGGTTCCCGACGAATTTCCAAAATCTCGGGACTTGGATCTCCCGATCACATGGCAAACCGGGACAGATGGATGAATCCTGCCCAAGGTTGCCCCGCAACTCCGACCCAGAGCCCTGCTGATTCGATCAGCTGTCCGCGCTGGGGCTCGCCGTGCTTTATTAATGATGCCCATTCAGTACCGTCAACACCGACGGGATGGGCCTCAAATCCGTGGAAGGTATAAGCTGGAAGCCGAGCGGCGGCTCTATCCCGTCGGCGTAGTCGGCGGTACTCGCGCTGAGAGCTGAGAGACATGCGGATTCCCCGCTGCCTCCGGCCGCCAGTGGAGGCGCACGAATTTGAATTTCAGAGCTTAAGGGAGTCGTCCCCAAATCTATCGAAGCAGTATGGAGGAGGCTCGCCGAGTCAGTGAAAATCTGCTGAGAATTACTGCTGGCTCTCAGAGTCATCTCGATCGATTCCGGCAATCTCATCCTCGGGGACCCATTGGCGATAGTCGAATCAATCGAGAGCGGTCTCCTAGGCCGAGAGTTCCGGCACGCTGTCACAGGCGCAGTCACGGTTCCAGAAATCCATTCGGGTCACTCCCGTAATCGGCACCGAATATATTCACGGGATGCCTGTCTCTCGATATTTTCGCCTCCCCGAATCCTGATTGCGTATTACGTCGTCATAATCCCACAATGATACAGTGAGAACTGGTTAATTGGTCCACCCGCGGTACTAGCGAGAAGTGGACCGATACCGCAGGAGGGACTTTTACGCGTCCAGAACACCATGTGCTCCTGTTGCCCTCGATTTGAAAAAAAGGTCTGATAAGTCAGGCGGTCTCTTCAAGCTGGTGGGCTCGCAGCCATCCGCAAGGGGGGCTTGGTGTGCTGTTCGCTGGCTATTTTCTTCGATATCTATGCTCCAGGCATCGACGGCCTGATACATATTAGGGATAAGGATCGCAAATAAGCACAACATAAGATGAGGTGAGGTGGCTTGACTTCTCCGGAGAAAGTGACTTCCAGCTAATGGAAGCCGGGGAACTCGAAGGGGGGTCTCTCCCCGTGTGTTCCATACAAGATATGCTGACTGCGCTCTTTATTCCTTGCTCATCCAGATATCAATGCTTGGAGCATGAGAATCGATGAACCACAGTCACCGTAGATATGCTTATAGGGGGGGAGTCCCTCATATATGAACGAGCAGTCTCCAATGGATGAGCGGGTTTCGAAGGTCTGCACACGGGCAGTCTCCAATATAGTGGCTCATTGAGGGAGGTGATTCAGGTACCTTGCGGAAGCTTTAAGTGAGTTTCCACGACTCAAAATAGACGGGCCAGTATGAGTGGCCGGGCTCAAGTTACTCGTGGACGAACGGGAGAAGTAGACGGGCAGTCTCTAATGCACGGGCAGGTTTCGGATAGTCGAGAAATAGACGGGCTTAAGACTTCAATCGGAATGTTTACGGTGTCTTTTTCCATTCTATGATTTGAAGGTTGAAGAGAGCACATCGCGCCGCGTGTGAACCGCTCATGTGGGGGTCTTCCGCATAAGTACCGGCTCCCGGAGTTCGCTATAGAGGCCCATGCCCACAACCTGTTTGAGCTCCCCGCATCCGAAATTAGTGAATCAGCACGAAAAAATCAGTAATCGCTGGGCTGCACCGAGGTAATGAGTGAGGCTGTGAAATTTTCGCGGCAAAACATCGCTGAGGTCGCGGCTCGTCACGGTGAGAGAACTCGAAATCCCCCCAGAATCGCGAACCATCGCAGAAGTTGATTTGATTTATTGGTACACATTTGCGAGCGGGGCTGCATAAACGGAATGAAGTAGACTAGCAACAGTGTGCGATGACAACGGTAAATGGCGGTGGGCAGTGGTAACAAGGTAAATGACTTAGCGAACTACTTTGAGTGTAGCAGGTGGGCTTTACAGAGACGCTTGAATAAGTTATAGGACGCAGCGGCCCTTGGGTCAGAAGGGAAGGCGTTCCACGTCACGGGAACTAGGTAGCTAGGGGCGGACTGAGCGGCGACGGTTCGGAGGTGCGGAAACAGTAATTCACTGTTGCTGCGAATAAGCGGCGGCAACGGCTCCCTAGAACAACTAAGCCTCAGGATTTGGACCCTCGTGGCGAGTCTTGGTGCGGCCGTGTCTCCGAGCCACAAGGCCAAGCTATACCAATAGCAGGGTCTCACCGAGCCCTGCTGACGCTTGGAGCGCCTTTGATTCTCGGAGCCTGATTCCTCGATCTTGGAGGAGATTCCTTCGAGTTCCTCGAAGAAAGCGGGAGATGGATTTTGATCATTGTGAGTTTCATGTGGCTCTGAGTCTGGACAGCAGCCGGTCCCATACAGTCTGATGGACCTTCGGATGGAGACGAGGTAAGCTTTGCGCCGACATATTGGACCTCTGAACTCAATCGATCGCTCCAAGATCTGCGTCGTCCGTACCTGCCTGTAGTCCAAACCATAGCCCATGCTACCCGATCCGTCAATCTGAAGCAACTACTAGATCAAATGCTGAAATTCGCTAGCTTCGAGGTCAGACGGGCGGAGAGCGACGAGAAGGCGAAGGGAACCGAAGAGCTCGAATGGTCGTTCGCGGCATCGTGGGTTCACTCGTATCTCCGATTGACTCCGCTCATCCCGGACTTGTAGAGGTCGAAAAGCACGCAGTAGTGCAGGGCATCGACCATCCGCGAAATTTCATCGGTCGCCGAAATCCAACAGCTGTTGCAGCTAATACCTTTGTTCCCATCTAGCGAGAACATCAGCGGGGGCCAATATGAAGAGAGTGAAGGGGAACTTCTGGGGTGTTGATGAACTTTTGTTGACGGTTTGATCCGCGATACCTCCTGCGACTCTTATTCGGAGTCGCGATCCCGATAAACTTCGATTCGGAGAGCACTCCTGCAGATCCCGATTTGCATCTCTCTGTGGAGAGGATTCTCGAGATCGGGCACATCTCCAAAATTCGCAGAATCTCTAATGCCGAGCCGTAAAATTCTATTAGATTGAAGGCGCTCCCTGCATAGATGCTCCCCGATTTAGGGCGGCCCGGTTACGCGGAAATGACCGCTATCGCCCCAAGCAAAATCCTGTCATTCCATTCGCGGTGGGAGCCGCTCATAGGTATTTTTGACGCGGATATTCGGCCGGCACAGAAACCGGATCAGACGTAATATTACACGAGTCAAGAGAAGCAGAAATCAACTCAGAAAAGGCCACTGTCAAGGGAAGACGGGCGCGGAACGCATAGTGATTCTGAGACAGGTCCGCTCCAGGAAATTCTTCTTCTGTCTCCTCGTAATTCGGGTACCTTGAAGAGCGGAGTAAGCTTTCATGGAAACGCTGGCCGATGTATTCCCTCCGAGGATTGGGGATTTTCGTCCATGAGATGGACGGAAATGACCGAGCCGTCCGTCTAGTATTGGAAGGGATCCGGTGAGGGGATGAGAGATTTTCCGCGCGAATCTTACGCACGAGGAAGTTTCCTCTCACTTTATATATTCTAAGCAAACATTCTATGGAAGAATCTAGACAGTTTCCTTCTCCGGCTATTGCCCCATTACACAGTGAGGCTCCATTGATCCCGAGGCACGTCGCCTCCGCTCAGCGAAGGAAAACTCATCGTAATTCGACAGCGAGAGGACTCATCACTGTCACGCAAGTCTCTCCACGGAGAATAGACGCATACGATTCGCGCATTGGGTGATCGAGGCGACCGATGATTTCCATATAGATATGTAGACCTGTACGCTATCAGCAATCTGAAGCAAACGGCAAAGGGGGGTCATGGAGACAGTTTGGCTCAGATCTACAGTGCCCAAAAGAGGCCGAAATGAATCGAAGGGAGGGTTTAAACGTTGACGGATTCTTTAATCGATCGCTTGTTTATTGCAACTCTTCTCACTCAGTTGTTGGAAGCATCCTGATATAATCACGAAGTTATTCCTTCTTTTCCGTATCCGGAGTGAAGCCGACCTCCGTCTTCGCGTTTTTGAACAACTTCTCCGCCGTTTGCTTTGCCTGCAATTCTCGAATATATTAGCTCCGCGTCCAAGTTCCGAACTCTCAGCACAGGCACATCCCGCTCAAGATTGTGCGACTCAAGCTCCTAATTCATACACGGATTGCCGGTACATTTCTCTGGCGAACGGAACTCACGTCTGCGCCGAATTTCTCGGCGTGGTGTCCGATCGTCTTCGCTCCCTCGCTCACTGATTCTTTAGTCTTATCCCAGAATTCGGCTGTGGAAATATCGAAGAGTAATTCGGTGATCCTTAGCCGACGACACCAGATACCTATTGAGGCGAACGACGCCAAGCACGTTCCGGTGACGTTATCACCGCGGCGATCACCACCCTAGCGACGCGTTACGACGTGAAGAAAGCGTCAGCATTCTCTGGTTAGAGGTGAAACCGCCACTTCGAATCCGGGTTCATCCCAGATCCACTGACGAATACCCGTAAACAATGAACCTCATCATTCATCATCTACTCACAGAGTTTTGATCCAATTTTGTCCCATTGCGATTCGGGCTTCTTCTCCTCCTCAGCGTAAGAACAGGACACCAGGACGACGAGGACGAATATTAAAAGGAATTTCACATTCATTTTCGTTTCTTTGAGCGATGCACGCACAGATGAATGGGCTCAGTGAAGTTGAAGCCGGACCACTGTAGACGCCGAGCTTTTATCTCCTTCAAGAAGGAAGAGAGTGAACAGCAAGAGAAAGGGACCTTGCTCCGCTGAAGCTCGGTCGAAACAAGATTTGCTTGATTGGGCGAATGTGATCGAGCTGCTTGTACATGCCTTTGAGCGCCGATCGCGACGAAAACGAATGCCCCAAGCCAAAACACAGCTAGGCGTGATCGGCGAGTGGGTTGAATCGATAAGATCTACGTGAAGATTTAATAATCGCCAAAAGCGGTGAAATTGAAGCTCGTCTCTCCAACGCATGCTGATGTCTGAAACTCCGAAACCATTGATCAAAAGTACCGACTCATTGGATTTTCTCTCCCCGTAGTTAGTCTCTGGTGATGCTATCGGATTGTCTGCTGGACGACATATCTTTTCCCAAGCTAGATTCGGTGAACTTTGGTCACGAGGGTATCCACTATCGACTATTACGCACATGCTCCATTCGCTCCGTCACGTTCTCGTCAGGAGCTTCACCCGACATTGCTATTGAGCCAATATGCTCACGACACTCTCCCTCCCCCATCGGGCCGACATGGAATCTCTGAGCCCCCTGGCAGCATTCGTAGATGTTCTCTCTGGCAAACTGACAAGGCATGAGAGCAGGAATTTTCCTTCCTGCTGGAGAAAGTCATCACAATCTCCGCCGCAATCCGTCTCCGTACACCTCCGAGCTTCTCGTGGCGAGAAGGAATGACGATCGAACAGAGTGGAAAATCGTCTCCGATCCAAACACTTATCCTGATTGTAAGTTATTCGGAAGATATGAGAGACTGTCGTGGAATCGCATCGCGTCTCCCAATCCGCATTTTCCAAGAGACTGCTACGGAACGTTTCCTCGGAAGATGAGGGAGCTCGGGAGCTTACGTAGGTAGCACTGACAGGAACATTCTTCAGATCGAAAGAGTGAGGATGACGGAGACGGTGGGCCCACCTGGCAATTCCTTGTGTCCTCGTTGGAGCTGCCGGAGATACGAGAGACATTTTTGGAGTCGTGAAAATAATCCGGGACTCAAATGCCTTTGGAGGAGACATTCTCGCCCTTCTGTTTAATGAGATGCTCGGGTATGAAGCCCAAACATTCCGGACCGGGTAAAAAATTTGATGGATTCAGAAAATAAGGGTTCAGCGATCACCTCTCTCCATCCGCCTCTCGCGCTGAGGGCCTGTTGATCAATCACTTTGAATCACGCGGGCCGCCGGACTCTGCGACGCGGAAAGCTGGCCGAATGGAGTGTGTATGTTTCATGGAGTCCGTTTCATTACATCGATGCTGGGACGAACGTGCGCGCTTCATCGGGAAAATGAAACACTCAAGAGTCGATGAGAGGCCTTCGAGACAGAAATAAGTTTCTCCATCAAGTAGAAGACAGAACATGATGATTATCGGGATCTCGCCGGAGGGAGATGACACCAAGAACATATCTAGGATGGAGCACTCCGTTATTGCGTTGAGCGAAGACCATCCTTCTGCGAGAAGTACGCACTGAAGTATGCCTCCTGCATACACTCAGAGTTGTTCTTGTCCGAACGTGCTCAGGGCCTGTATAACCAAATCGACCGATATACTGAATATTGTAGCGCCAGGTGGTGCTGCCGCCCTATATTCAGGATTCTCGAGCATCCTAACAAAAAATCATCATCGGAGTTCAGCTCCTTCGTTGCTCAGGTTGTATTACCGCCACAATTTGGTGGCGAAGGAAAAGACGTCAGACAATGAGAGGCGATAATAAACCAATGTTGAACCTTATGCTCGCCCTCAGCTGTGATATCTGCCACTATGATCGGGTTCCGAGTCCTCCGAGCAGAGACCGATAAGTCCCCGAATCATCTGAACAGCTGCAGATTACGGGAACATTCCTGACCATAACTTTTGGCTCTCGTGACGGGACTATACATGGCCGTCTGCCTCCACGTCTTAGGTCACGTTTCCACGGGACCTGGAATCCTAAACCCAGACTGGATGGTCTCCCTTGATGGACCTCATTCTCACCTCGTGACGCTGATCGGAGTATTTCTTGTATGAGGTCGCTTGGGCGGGCTGATTCGACCTTCCCGTGGTCGCCGCCTACAGACTTGAGAGGCTCAGCTCGGTGCGGAACGATCTGCCTAGGAAGAGTTCGGCTGGGGTCTTTCCCTGGGGGATCGGCGGGTTCTGGTACGTCTGCAGCATAACGCTCAGTGTATCTCCTCGCCCCCCCCCTCCCTTCGCAGTTTCTTGAATGGCCGCTTGAAGATATCGACGAAACGCTCTGCCTGACCGTTTGAAGCCGGATGACAAACCGGAGGGCATAAATGACGGATTGCCCGACTCTCAAAGAAGCATTCAAAAGTCTCTGCTTCGAATTGAACTCCACCATCAGTGACGAGACCGTTTGGGTTCCCAAAACGCGCACGCAATACCGTGAATTTGTATATCGTTGAGGCTGCCGTGGCAGATTTCAGCTCGGGAACCTCCGGCCATTTCAGATAAGCATCAACTATTATCAAATACATGCGGCCATTCAAAAGCCCGGTGAAGTCCGCGTGCCCACATTGCCACGGCTTCAGAAACGTTTTCCAGGGTTGCAGCGGTGCCTCCCGAGGTCTCTGATCAAGTCTGCACACGCCGAGCATCCGCGCACCGGCGCATCGACTCGTTTATCGAGCTTCGGCCAACAAATGAAACTTCTCGCGAGACGCTTCATCCTCAAAACACAATGATGAACGAGATGTAACTGTTGGAGGACTTGAACTTAGAGTGCTTCTGAGAACACCATTCGATCCTCCAGCATGATGCAATCTTGAACGATCGACAAAGATTCTCGCCTCTTGAAGACGAACCAGAGCGGGGTCTCTCGCTCCACTTTCGCGGCCGAGTCTTTCTGTATGTTCTCCTGGACCGCTTGCAGCGATTTATCTCTCGATGTGTGGTCCCGAGTGGACTTGTGGGGAAAGATATTATAATTAGAACTGAATTGTTCCGGGCTTATTTCTATTTATTATTCTATTCTTATTTCTTATTTCCCTTCCATTCGTCATCGAAAGACTTCATAGTAATGAGTACTTTAGGGCAGTGGTTCCCAAACTTTTTCTTCCGCGGAACCCTTCGCGGAACCCCTAGTGTTCCGTGGAACCCTTCCTCATTTTTCAAAAAATTCAAAGTCCTGTCAATTGCTCTCCCCTTTCAGCTATCAGAGGAGAAAACACGCGTTTGTTCCGGACCAGACCCGAATGTTTATTGCTTAAGTCAATCCTTGCGTTTATGAATGCTCATGTAGTGGGAACGTGCCTTGTGCAACGACCTTCGCAGTGTGCATTCGATGCCGATCGATGCGCCAATCAGAACGATCCCCTTCGGAATTGAGGAAGACATTATTTGGAATCAGGAAAAGAAGTTCCCCACAGGGTTACGACACCTAGGGCCCGTATATGACCGTACATATGGAAGCAAAACCTCGTCGCAGAACCCCGAATCGCGCCGAGAGCAGCCGACGGAACACTGGGGTTCCGCAAAGACTTTTCCACGGAACCCTCGGAGAAGAGCGACGGAACCCCAAGGGTTCCGCGGAACCCAGTTTGGGAACCTCTGCTTTAGGGGAACCTCCGCGCTCCCACAGTAAGGATCGGTGACGGGACCGCTTAATTGTTCCGAAAAATGCCTACCATACAAACTGAAGCCTGCTAGCATCTTTGTCCGGCTCTTCGCTCCTTCTTCCCTTGAGCACGGATCAGAAGTCCCCACCCAATAATCATATCTTCTTCATCGATTCTATCCGATTGTGAGGTTTTGTGCGAAAGCTCGTCTAATAACGGACAATCAGCTAGGGATCCATCAGACCCTCAGATGTTGGCGGACCATGAGATTGGCTCAAACTGTGGAGCTCTCGAAAATGTCTTCAATATTCGCGAGACTTTCGAACATGAAGCTCGATCGCTCGAATAAATTCGAGAACTTCGGAGGGCTCATACCAGTCGATATTCTAGACATTTTTCGAGAATGCCGCCTCTCGTCGAACGCTGACCCGCTCCCACCCCGTCAGTCCTCGGAAACCCGTCGAGCGCTCCTCGGAGATTTCGGATTCCGGGAAGCCATACTCATGACTTCCGGGAATTTCATGAGGAGTCCTCGTACGAATCATCCATCTGATCGACGGACCCGGGAGAAGCTTGTTCATCAATGATTCGGTATAGAACCTCCGACATATCAGCTCCAGCCTATCAGACATTTTCTCGCTAGCCTCAGTTTCATTCTTCTCATGGTGCCACATGCGTCGACAGCAGAGTCTTCCTGCTCACATGCGAGGCCCTTGGAAATGCCCAGCACGGCAAGGTTGAGCACATGCATGGAACACCGTTGTTGATACGATACTTAATTGCATCCATAATAATTGATACTTGATAGACATCTCGAGCCTGATCATGATCGAGGCCGCGTCCGTCACGCCTCACGCCTTCCGTCGGCGACCAGAGCGAGCCTTTCTTGCAGTCGCGATGCTTTTCGCCGAGATATCCTCAATCCTCCTGAGAGCCTGATTTCTCATCCTTTGAGCATTCGCGCCGATATAGCCGAGATCGAAGAATTTCCCTGCTTGCTCAAATCTACATGGGTGCTTCAATTACGCCTCAGCGAGATTACAGTTCAGCCGACTCCCGGTTCCGGAACTGCGAAACAGACCGATACGATTCCTGCAGTCGGTTTCGGAGTCGGTACTCTCCAAGCAGATCTCAGTGAGTCCGGACTTCTATGGATCCTCTATCCCTTAAGTTATTCGCGCATTCTGCGTCGCCCGAATATGCTGCGGTATGCGGAATCGATCGACTTCCGCGAGGTTATAAATCATGGAATGCCCGATTTGGTTTCTCCATTTTCAAAACCACTCGGAGAAGTTTGTGTCTCTCCTCCTGTCTGTTCTCCCAGCGACGCGAAATACAAGAATATACGCATGCGTCTCCGTCGACCAGAAATAGAGCTACTCCCATGAGAAATCCCGCGGGATTCCGGAAACGGTCTCTGATTCTTCGAAATGACTGGTTATCCCTCCGGCGAATTCCCAGACGCTGGCACCGGACCTGGATCTGGTCATCTGGATGAGAAGGAGAGCAGTTCCCGTCCGATGAATTCCTCCAAACCACAGTAGGGTTCTGATACTAATCCGGCCTCGAACGAGTAGGGCGGATGAAGATTCACTCCCGTGACATATTCTTCCACAGCCGCGAAGTCTCGGTGATATTCAAGCTTCGTCAAGCCTTCCAACTCGATGCCTCGATATTATTATGTATATGACTTCAAGCTCTGAACGCTAATACTTAATTCGATGAGCGCATTTGATATCCTCGTGGTGCAGTCTCCCACGAGGAGATCTTCTCAAAAGTGAAAACGATAAATGGAGGATGAAATCGCTCGGACTCAGACAGAAAACACATATATCTCATCCTTGACACCCCTACAAGCTGAGTTGCTGCTCTCAATGCTCATTCAACTAGCTGAAACGAAAAACTACCTGGAACATCAGATTTCCTCGGAGCCGCGAGTCGCGCTTTCTTCTTGTTCTCCGTCTACGGTACAATCGCTGCGATTCTCGACGTTGCTTGAGACCTTGTTTTTTTTAAAAGGCCGAGAACGGCTCCGGAACGTATTCGCATGGATCTCCAAAGCCTCCGAGACTAGATGCATCGAGGCTTTTTCGGAGAAGAGATCGGAGTCCCCAGGAAGCATCTAGTCTCGGACAAGGGTGCATAGCTTCTTGCACCTGAATACCACAGCATGTGCGTCGGCGCGCAGGGGAAATTCGGAAGGCCTTAGCGAGTGATTGTAGGTTGAGGAGATCTGACATCGCTTCGGATCGAGGGCCGATAGCGGATATGATTGAAATCACGGAGGGAGCCCTATAATAAGCTATAGCCAACCAGAGCTGTACCATATGAGTTCCTCAGTCAGGAATCTCAGATTCGGAGATAACGTAACGCGAACGCCAAAAAAAAAACTATACCGAGCGATACAGGGGTAGCATTTGTGTCTTCAAGAGTCGGACAGATTTACGGAAACGGTCAAGCCTCCAATAGAAGGTCCCGCTCCCTCACCTTAGAAGGAAACCTCACTTCGCGGCCGAGCTTCCTTCTCATGATGATGGTTATTCGACGCTAATGGCACACCTTGAATGCCTCCTGGAGGCTTATATCGTGAAAGCCTGACTGGCCGCGCGGCGGCCGAGCGACAACCGATTATCGGAAGGATTCATTTTGCATACTCGATGCAGCGCGATACGAGTATCGAATAGTGTCCACGTATCAGCAATCGACCATTTTTGAATCAAATTCTGATCTCGGAATACATGGCTGACAAATATCCTTAAGTTTCCGGCTTCCAGTGCCGACTGGTGTGCCATCATTGCGAGTGACGTCAGAATTTCGGTTGTCGAAGGTCAAGCATCTTCTGCACTACGAATCGAGGAGTGGAATCTTAAAACATGCCTTGGAAGTACCGCTGCTTTACAATTTTGAGGTCAGTTTGCGCCCTATCGGGCTGTAAATCGCGCGTCTAGTTTATGGGAATCTACAACGAGCTATTCATCGTGACTCATCCGAATGTTGAGGCAGAGCGATTCTCGGTATCAAGAGCTTCTTGCTTAGGAGGATTGTTTCACCTGGACGTCGGATATCCGAACTCGGGATCGTAGAATGCCCCTCCAGGCTTAGACATAGTCCAGAAATGTCCGCCGAAAATTCCCAAGAGGCCACGACCCACAAGCTCAACAAATTGAACTTTGCCGTAACATGGTTTGATGAGACTCAAAACTGTGTGTTTGCAGAAGCTTATCCTAATTTCCCCTCCTTCGTAGACACGGAGAGGCGGGCGCCTCCGCAAGTCCTCTTGAAATGGGTTCGAACGGGAGTTAGCGTCTCGAGATATTGGCTCGCTATCAGACTCCGATAATTGGCATCTACGAACAAGCGGAGAGAGATCGGAGAATTCCCTCCTCAACAAGATACGATGCAAATTCTACGGTACAACACAGAACGCGGCTCCTGAGCTCGAGGAAAAAACCCAAGAAGCTCAGTCACAGGACACATGTTCTCTCGAAACATGTTATGGAGACATGTTCTGGGGTGTACCTATCTCTACTTCTCGCCGACGTGTCCCGAACGCAGATTCTCTCGCGTAAGTCGGCGGAGGCGAGAGCAGAATCCTCAGAGTTCTCCCGGCTCTTGAGCATTCCCTGGAGGTATGGCACGATCAGTTTGCCAATCAGTTCCGACGACCCCTATCCGCAGACTGCTTCCAAACCTTTCTACACAGATGGACTCCCATACGGTTCTGGTCTGACACACCCCGGACTCGAGAGCCCTGTTCCGAGTCGTCAGCGGCGTTGAGAAGACCTCAGCATTATCGCCTGCAGAGAACATCCGGAAGTATGTTCGATGCTCCCCGTGGGCAGAATCGCCCGAAATGGATTCGCAGCGCAGGCAAGATCATTCTACCCTTCGCGCCAGCGGCAGCACTCGAGGCACGCACACGCGCTCGTTCCGTCGCTCGCTCCACTAGTGCTGCGTTTTTGACAGGTTGCCGCCGAGGTTAATCGTTGTCGAGGGAAACCTCGAATCTGTCAAAAGCGCTTGCAATCGTTTCTCGGTTGAGCTTTTCGCCGATTATCGTGATATCGGGTCTTCTCTTCGATTTTGGCCGAACCTTTCGGTTTACCGTCGGAACAAGGTGAGTTGAGGAAAACGCCACCGCAATGGCGTCTCCAACGGCTTCAACGGCCGTGAGCTTCGGTTTTAGGTCGGTGATCGGCATCTGATTGTCAAAGACTTAGAACATTACAATGTATGAATCAATGCGGAATTCCGGCTTGCGTGGTTCCCGGAGCGGCCAGCGTTATGGATCAACAGGTGGTTTGCGGCTCGTGAAATATGACTCACGTCGGCCTGAAGAAACTCGAAATTGAATTCCTCCGGCATAAATCCGGTGAGGGGGGAAAGACCCCTTGTTGTTGACGAGTGAACAAGCGGGGTCTGACAGCGTTTTTCTGAGTTTCTCCGACGACTAAGAACGGAATCTGTATGCGTTGACAGTTGTGCTTCCTCGGTGCCGGATTATGGTATCGGCTCGGGAAGACCTCCCATTCAAGTCTCCAATCGCTCCCGAGGAGAGTATCGGGATATATCCATTCGACTGTAGAGGGAATAGCGCTTCTGGTTGCCAGAAATACGTCCTCCGTCAGGGTATCCCAAAACACACCTGAGTAATTGTTTGTAGCGCACAGAGACTGACGTCATTGAAATATTTCTCGGACTGACGTGAGTCAACCGTATGAATGGATGAGCCATTCGGTACAGGGACTGTACGATAGATGCGTTTTTTACGATTCTAAAAAGTTCACGTAACCTACACGCTAGTCGGGACTGCTGCTCACATCTCCCCAGTTCTGCTCCTATAGAGCGACGCCGGCGGCGTCGCCTTAACGGAGCAGGCACATGGCTTAGTCATGTGACTGTGGATGTCCGCGAGCAAGTTCACAGGAGAGCAGCAAGGGAGCATGATCAACGTCAAACACTTCCCTTAGGAGAGCATTGATGCTGCAGTTCTCCTTTGTCCTCCCGAACTTGTCGCCGTCGTTTGCCTTGCCGGCATCAGGTGAGATTCGGCGACGGTTGTTGAGATCGACCGGCGAGAACGGCCGAACAAACGGACTGCTGAAACTGATTCTCGAGAAACTTCTCCGAGTGGACGGAAGCTCTCGCGGAGGAGTTCATCCTCGGTGTTCGTTTGAGTCACCTTGACGCATCGTACGCTCGGATATCGTGGAAACGACTCTGTTGAACATCTTGCCGAATGGCCGAGGATAGCGGCGGATTAGCCTTTCTGCTCGTCGGCGGGAGACTTCCCCTTCTCTCAGCTAATTCAACGCATTATTCTTTCAGATTATACGCTAACGCAACCGGGCAACTTTAAAACTCAAGATGCCAAAACCTGTGAGTTTCGTTTTCCTTATTCCCCGATGAATCGAGATATATTCCTCAGACGAGTCCGCGTCCTGAGTCGAATGTCTGCAGAAAAAGTCGAAGAGGAGGCAGATGCTGCTCATCGATTCAGAGCGGGTGGAGGTCGGAGTCGCATCGATCGAGAAGCGACAAGAAAGAACGAGAGCGGGGAGGAGATTACTCAAATTTCAAAACTCATTCCGAAAAGCCTCTCCCGTGGTGCGAGTCAAATGCTCTTGGATTCACAACACATTGAAAGTCCAAAAGCCTGGGAGCGTCCAGATAGGTCAGATCTGAACGGGACTCCGGAAAATCGAACGGATCCTCGACGTCAATTTGAACGGAAGTCGCCGGGTATATATGGAGGGTATGGAATACGGGGTGGACCTTGGGTATATTTCGCCAATTATTTTCCGGAACTTCTTTAGCTCAGTGACCACTACTAGCTCCCTGGACTCCTCCTCGGAGAGTTCGCTCCTCTCGTGGAGCGGTCCTCGGTCTCGTGTACGATAAATCTGCGAGGAGCCGAAGTGAAACGGGGTCAGAACAGGCGATCGGTGTCTGTGTGACTGACTTACTAGCTGTCTGTATGTATGAAAACCTATCCGTCTGCCTGCTTTTCTGTTCGGCCAAATCGGTCCCGTTTGAGCGCAGGGAGCGCGGCGTTTGCTGGGCCGTAACCAACCTGTGACCGACTTGAAACAGTGAATCACGTGATTCTACAACGGTGCATGGTCTGCCTCCTTCGTGGGCACAGCCGGAGGCAGTGCCTCACATCGTCGCTGAACCGATTTCGACGTGAGACTTACTGAAAATCAGTTTCACCTGTCGCTCGCCGAGTGAAGACGTTGTAAATAGTCTCTTCATCACCAATCGGAATCTCTCACAGGAGGTCATGGTGGGTTGCGGCAGATTCTCTGCAGGACGATGCCTATCTGCTAGGGATCACGCTCAATCTGACAGCTCCCATCGCTGCTAATTGCGGATTAGCTTTTAGAATGGCGGTCAGCTCGATGGTTTCTTGCCTTTTCGGCTCCAATCACCATTCGTTTACCCCAAAAATGCACTCTCGAAAACGAGCCGGAATCGATCTGTCGTCGAGCTTCCGGAGGAAGGTGCAGCCCTCCACGGGCTTGGCGGCGTGGACGTCAACGCATGCTCGAGAATATTCATCCGAACTAGGGGACCTGATCCGGGATCTCGAGCGAATCGTAGATCGACCCAATGAATATGCTGCGATGAAAGCGCCGCGGGGAACGCGATCCGGAGCCTGAGCTGTGATCAGGCTTCCTTCTCGGCGGCTCGCTCTATTGACAGATCAACGACGGTGGAATTCGGATCTCATGTCGGGTGCCGCCGCTCCCACAGCGGGCTTGTGTCGTTGCTGACCTGAGTGACGACCTACCTGCTTGCCTGTTCGGCTGGCTTGCTGTCTACCTTGTTGGTTGGCTGCTCGCTGTCAATGAGGCTTCGCACCATCCGGAGCGGACGGACTTGTTAGCAATATTTCTCTTTGATCTACGTGTGGAGAAGAATCGATATTATTGTTCTTCTGCTTCTGCTAGGATGGGATGCCGGAGCCATGTCTCTGCTTCCCTCGTGAATAAGCCCCGCAGCTCTCGGGAGAATAACTCGCACTGACTCCCGATGATGATCTCGAATTCTTCCCCCATGCAGGTCAATGTTCGGGTCACGACGATGGACGCGGAACTCGAGTTCGCGATCCAGGCGTCGACCACCGGAAAGCAACTATTCGATCAGGTGAGTGGAATGCGCGCTGACGACAGTGCTGCGATTGATCGATTCATTTATGGACTCGATCCCCCCTGTCGCTCGCCTCGCGGAGGAGTGTCTAATTTTTCTTTCTTCGAATGTAGGTGGTGAAAACGATTGGACTTCGCGAAATTTGGTTCTTTGGCCTACAGTACACAGACACTAAGGGCTGCACCACCTGGTTGAAACTCAACAAGAAGGTTCTGTCGCAAGATGTCAAAAAAGAGAACCCGCTCCTGTTTAAGTTCCGAGCGAAGTTCTTCCCCGAAGATGTTGGTGACGAAATCATCCAGGAGATCACTCTGAAACTCTTCTATCTGCAGGTAAATTCTGTGTAAAAAACAACCCTCCGCCCGTCACTGCCTTTTCGAGCTGCCTTTCGAAAGTCTGATACCTTCATGGGATGTAATCCGATGAGCGACTTTGCGATTTTCGGCGGATTAAACCCCGAACGCTAAAAGCTTGTTGGAATGTTCTGAGGCGAGTCGTTTTTTGGGTCGATGTTGAATTGGAATCATGGATCATCGGAGAGCGCCTTGAACATACCCGTGTCATTCTCTGTTTCGATCCATTAGTTTTTCCTTACGACTTTCGCTTCCTGAAGCTGCTAGAAGTTTCTAGATTCTGGCGCGTCCCCATTTTCCTCTGCGAGTCTCACTGCGGCCTTCCGACTGTGGGCTCCTATTTCCGCCCGAAGACTTCGGACAAAGACTTGCCCGGCATAGTGACCTTCGAATGCTTCACTGTACAAGTCATCCTGCACCATCAATGTTTGATGATCCTGATTGATAATGACGCAGATCATTCGGATCGGAAACCATGTCCCCACTAAAACAATCTGTGCCGACTCCAGGTCAAGAGCGCGATCCTGACAGACGAAATCTACTGCCCACCGGAAACCTCAGTATTGCTCGCCTCCTACGCGGTGCAGGCGAAATATGGAGACTACAACCCTCAAATGCACGGCGACACCTGTCTTGCCAACGACAAGCTGCTGCCGCAGCGAGTGATTGAGCAACATAAACTCACCCGGTGAGCCTAGAATTCGCGAGCGCGAAATCGGATATCAGATTTCTTACATCGAGCTGGGAGCTCTCGCTAATGTGATTGTGCTTGAATAACAAATATTCTGTCTATCTAAGGGAAATGTGGGACGAGAGAATCATCAATTGGTGGATGGAGCACAAGGAAATGGCTCGTGACGACGCCATGATGGAGTACCTTAAGATCGCTCAGGACTTGGAGATGTACGGTGTCAACTACTTCGACATCAAGAACAAGAAGGGAACCGAGTTGTGGCTCGGTGTCGATGCCCTGGGCTTGAATATCTACGAGAAGGTATGTTTCCTCGATTCATGCTCTCAAGCGTCCGTATATCGATGTGTCGAGAGATTCTGAGAAATGACCCTTTCTCTCCGTACAATCGATAGGAAGACAAACTCACGCCGAAAATTGGTTTCCCTTGGAGTGAAATCAGGAATATCTCCTTCAACGACAAGAAGTTCGTCATCAAGCCGATCGACAAGAAAGCGCCCGACTTTGTGTTCTTCGCTCCGAGGCTGAGGATCAACAAGGTGAGTCAGAAGATCCTAGAAATCAGTGACGCGACTGAATAATGGAGTATTCTCCGTGCCTCTTTGCTGAGAGAGATTGACGACCCTTCGCTGTCCCTTATTCGTAGCGTATCCTTGCTTTGTGCATGGGCAACCATGAGCTGTACATGCGCAGGCGAAAGCCCGACACCATCGAAGTCCAACAGATGAAGCAGCAAGCTCAGGAAGAGAAGTCCAACAGGAAACAGGAGCGGGAGAAGCTGAAGAAGGAGAGCGAGCTCCGCTTGGAAGCTGAAAGGAAGCAACAGGAGTATGCTGAGCGAATGAAGAAGATGCAAGCTGAAATCGAACGACATCAAAAAGAGATGCTCGAAGCACAGGACACCATCAAGAAACTCGAGGAACAGCTCCGTCTCGTCCAAGCTGCCAAAGAGGAGTATGAATTCAAGCAGAGGGAACTTCAAGAGATGATGGTGAGATTAGAGAACGAGAAGCATCTGGAAGTCGACGCCAAGACCAAGCTCGAAGAGGAAATCAAGACCAAGGCCGAAGAGGTCGAAGTCATCAAAAAGGTTCGTAGCGACCGTTCGTTTCATTTCCTCAGAGACTGCGAATAACAAATACAATTTGCCGATGAATTCATGATTCCGCAAACTGAACGGCTGCTTCTTCTTGATCCTTCAGGTCGTCGAGGAAAAGGATAACGAGACCAAGAAACTCCAAGAAGAGGTCGAGGAGGCTCGGCGAAGACAACAGGAGGTAAGTCCGTCCCTGCTGCAGGAAAAAATTCGAGGCTTCTCTTGATCATTCTTCATTCTTCAGTGAGTGATGACTCATTTGCATTTTCTTTCGAAGGTGGCCGCCGCTCTCATCGCCGTTTCTTCGACACCCGAGCACCACTACGTTCAAGACTACGAGCATGACGAGCAGGATGACGAAACTACGGACGTGCAGACAGGGGACCTGAACCACAGCGGTAGCAACGAGCACATCCCCCGGCCCGAGGAAGAGAGGAACACCGAGTTGAGCAAGAAGAAAGTTCTCAACGATCAGTTGCAGACTCTCAGCGCCGAACTCGACCTGGCCCGAGAGAAGGATAAGTTGACGACCAACGATCTGCTCCATCAGGACAACGTGAAGAAAGGTCGAGACAAGTACAAGACCCTCCGAGAAATCCGCAAAGGCAATACCAAGCGTCGCGTTGATCAGTTCGAGAACATGTAGAGCCAACAATCGTCAATGAACTTCCTGACCCCCCGTTGCATTGTTACTGTAAGTTGGGGTGAAGACGATCAGCATGGGTGGAGAGAGATCAGAAGGGGCGCCGGATTTGGCGATCCTGCCGGAGACAATCTTAGTCCGCAGATCGGGGACCCGGCCTTAAGATCGCCGGGATTGTAGTCGTCTCGATTTTTGAGGTCGGATAATCTCCGTGCATGTCGCTCGGCCTCACCCCAGGATCCAGTAACAGATTTTTATGACGTTTTGAAATACGCTCCTGAAAAGCGCTGTGGTGCTCCAAATTTCCGTCGGCCGGAACGATGCACGGATCCTAGACTGATTTTCGACAACAATTAAAATACGATTAAGACTGATACGCTGCACGATTTTAATAAATCAACGACTATCTTATTTAAAGTGTCGCCTCCTGGCACCCGCTCTCTCAGGATTTCCATACCGAGCAATACTGCTCTGTTCAGTCTACCTGAGACGTCGATCGCGCAAGGAAGCTAATGCCGAGTGGACCAAGAATCATCTCTTCCCGGATGATTCAGCCTAGCATGCATCAATCATCCGGAGTCTTGATCCCTTTCCAAGCCGAGTGTGGATCTTCGAGAGTAATCAGGAGATCAAGAGAGGAACGTTATGGGAGTTTCAATGAAAACTCAGAGTCGAGATGGCAGCATCTACCCGCTGACCGCTTGTTCCCTTCAAAATCCGGCGCTTTCAGTCAGATCCCGAAACCTTACTGAGGCGATCTTCGGTAGCTCGCCTCATTGCGGAGGCCGCAAGAGAGTAAAACAAGCCCTCCGGCTCAGCTCCAGGCACCTGTTTTGAGCTCAGTGTTCGACCGGTACGGCTGAGTTTCCGTGAGTTCGCCCGTCGTACTTTGGGACAAACAGGGAGCTATTATGCATCATGTGGCGCTCATGGGGGCGGGGCATGACAGCCGGATCGAATCGCTGTATTTTGTCACAAGTCTTCTCGTTCTCTCCCCCTTCTCTCGCGGAGAACATTCTTAATGGGAGGCTGACGACGCCTCTGTGTACGGAACCCACATAGTTCTGTTCGCCTTGTCCACAATTTTCAGATGAGAACCAACTCCACGAATTTTCACCACAAGATATCCCGTATATCGTATCTCAATATACAGAGCCCTCGCAAGAATCAAGGCCGAGAATTTCCGGGATAAGAATCCGGACATCATCCGAGTCCTATACGTATAGAGTGCTTCTCTGGTACAAGGACCAAGCCCAAGAATCTTTGCAATAAGAAATTCGAGAATCGGCACACCGAGCTCGTCGTATTTTGACGAAAATTGGGTCGAATCGAATGCCTTCTTGGAAAGGGAGCGTTTTCCGTTGAGAGACTGAGTATGTGATGAGTTATGAGATCGAATGCGTATTCACGTTATTATTGAACGTTAGTCGGAAGGTATAAAATCTGACTGCAACATTAGGATGTACGAGTTATGCACTCAATTTGAAGTCGAGGTCAAAGCCAACAGGTTCTCTCGCCCGCTCCTTCACCGCATCTATTCATAGCCAGCGCGCTGACCAACCAGTCCTTTCATTCGCATGCATTCATATTGGCGCTCTTTTATGAAGTCCCGTCGTCGTCGACAACAAAGTGTGGATAAGGGTCCTTTCGAAATTCGCTCTGTTTGCAGTTCAAGGAGTCACCTTTCAGAAGCTCTCAGCGACTCCGTCGAGTAATGAGAGAGTGCGCGGTATGGCTTACGAGATATCCCCTCGGCTTGCATGACTTTTTCGAAAAGAGGGCTCTGACACGATTTCAATGCATACCGATAAATCATCGGTTCTTGCAGCGTGCAGCTGTCGCACGACATGGAATAGATTGAAATTCGTGAACAAGAAAGAGCTCGGTAATTCAGCTAAGAGATCGAGGCAGTCAACTCCGGAGCATCGTCCCTCTCACGAGGGCATGTCAGTTGGGAGACGGTTTGACCAGGTCGGGGTAGCCAGAGCACCGGAAGCCATTTCCTTTTTGGGAATGCAAGATCGAGCGTCCTGGAAGCGATTGGAGGGCGCGCGCGCCCCTGCAATGAAGACCTACCGCGTTTTCGGGAGGTTTCCTGGAATTCTCTCATTCCGACATTAGATCGAAGACTTCCCGCAATCCGAAAGCTCTCCAAACATGAGGTCGAGGCTGGGGTCCTGTCACGAAGATTCAGGCTCGGGCTTGACACATTTGAGACAATTGACTTCTGAGTCAATGTTTCGCGAGGGTAAATAGTGAACTTAGCTTGAGAGTGCGGAATGGGAGCGTCAGTTCAAGGTCGTGATGAAGGTGACGTCGTCCAAGGGAGGTCCACTTCACATTGGCCTCCGTTGCGGAATTCCTTCGATTCGGGGTCTGCCTTCCGTAGGCGGAGCTTCCGGCTCCTCCTATAACTGCGAACTTCGGGCGCTCTTCGCGAAGTGCTGATTCTTTGAGGGATTCCAAGAAGTGCGGTGATCTGTCGACGCGGAACTTACGGGAACGGAAAACGTACTTACGAAGTGACCCCCGGACGATCTGGTTGACATGTTCATCAAAGCGCAGCAGTAGAACTTCACCCGGAGGAGCGAGGTGAGTTTGGGCTTCAGACGCAGAGTTCGTTCATGGCACCGACTTCGTGACAGTTTTGCCCTATTCCAACGCGCCAGATCAGAACCCTGATACAGCAGGCTGGAACTCTCTAAGAGCATGAGTTGGACGCTATCTATCGCACTATGTTCAAGAAGCGTTCCCCTGAGGCTTTGCCCGCGACGGACGTTCCCGCGTAGTCAGTGTTTCCGGACGCTTCCTTGGGGCAGATAACATGCTGCCAAGCAGTCGAAATCTCCAAGCTTTTGGAAGAGCTCGCCGCTCAATCGACTGTGGGATGGAGGGTTGGAGGATGAAGCTTACTATAGAGGGTTCCGAATGAACGCGATGTTTCTTCCAAGGTTTGCAACGATCACGAGTCTACGGCAAGGCTGTCCCGATCGGATGTTGGGACAGGAGTTCCGATGTGGCGACAGCGGAGCAAGCTTCCTCCTCAAGTTAGCTCTTTGGATTCACTGTACCTCGATCCCCTCGGCCCCATTGTTTCTTCGATAGTTCCTCTGGGAGCGATGAGTTCCATTTGTATCATATCTTCATGCCGGAGTGAACAGAAGGGGAAGGATCTCCAGGACGGAACGTCACAACCTTCTGCGGAAGGTCTACGGCGGTTGACCTCTGTCGATACTATTGCTTCGTGCCTTATGAGAGCGGAGCTGGGCGATTCTTGAGAGCGCCGCTGACATACGAACAGAAAGGATTGTCCGCATCCCCTTGGAGGAAGGCTCCTCGCTTGTCGACGGATTGCAGGAGCTGCGATCAAGGTCTGGGCGATACAGGTTTCGGAAGCGAGTTCAGAAGACCGAGTCCTCACGCCTGCAGGGATGGGAAGCCGGCCGTCGCTGACTTCTACCGCGGCCGAAAGATCGATCAAATAATCGTGATAATTATCGAACTACATATACCCGGTATTCTACCCCGTCAGAACCCATTTGGTAAGCTGTAGGAGTTGGCCCGATTGTCGTTCGATGGCGTGAATCGAGCCGGAAATATTTCTTGGGAGTATTTCGGTGTTTGGGAACGAGAAGCAGAGCGTGAGGCGCTTTGTCTGACCGGAGCTGGGTTCCCTGTTACCGTCCGATTTTCTCGGGAACAATCCTACAAATCCGGCATTTACGTTCACCTATTACTCTCACCTGGTCATATTCGACTCGAGATTCTTTCTACGCTCTGTCCCGGTGCGAGACTCTCCGGAGGACTGCGGTGTATCTCATCTTCGTGGGAGAATAAGGATGGGGGTCGGGAGAAGAACTCGCTCGCTGACGAGCTCCCTTCCTCACGTGCAATGTGCGTTGAGCCGGAGTCGCTCGGACGATCAGGCCAAGGGTCAGAATGCGCGATCCCACCCGGAGATCAGCTACCGCTGCTTTCGATGAGATCAGCTCATTTTGAGACTGTAACATCGCTCGGTGGCATAAGCAGCTAGCCTCATCGTTTCCAGTTTGAATTCACCAAATGTTTGTGCTGCTTTAGGGAGATCGAAAGAATACCCGGAGGAAAAGCTCATGGGAGAGGAGAGCTCACGTGGGACTCGCCTTGTGACGATTCGAATGCTCGAGCGGGCTGATTCCTCTGGGAAGCGGTACGAATGGCTGTCATGCTGCTTCGTGTGCTCAAGAACTCGAGAGCTGCCACGAGTCGCGAAGTTCGTTTTCCGACTCCGTTCGCGATGCTGTTTCATCATCTTCGTGGTGAAGTCTAGGCGAATCGACTCAGGAAAACGCCTCGGCGCCTTTGAAAGAAGCTTGTGGCCTCCACAACTCTTGGCTTTGTCTTCGCACAATACCTCGAATCAGTGAGCTCTCAGGCCGAAGTTGAAGAGACGCTTTCCGTTAATTAAATTCATCGCCGTCTCTGCATGAGCGGATGGATGCTATAGACATAGAGTCACCGTGCGCAGTGAAATATTTTCCGATTCACGATCGTTTGTCTGAGGGGAACTGATCACCTAGGGACCTCGCTTTCGCTAAGTAAAACTACCGGACCGCGTGAAACTCTTGGGAGCAATCCACTATCTGGATCTCACGACGCGAGGGCTTCAGTACCGTTGCATTCCTTCTGTATTCTACCGTATTCGTTCATACAATCTTAAACTCACACAACGAAAGGATATAAGTTCGAAGTTGCTTCAAGCCTCGGAGCTCGGGCGCGGGGAATGCCCAGGAGGAGACATCCTCCCGGACGTGGATACCCTAGTTCAAAAGTTGCTCAAAAGCCTCGAGGTGCCCGATAGCCCGCGCTTGCTCGGTGACTCCCTATCGTCTCCGAAGTAGTATGCTGTCAATTCAAAAAATTTGTCGAATTCCGGATGAAGTGTGGAGCCCAGTTTCGATTCTTGCTCAACTTGACTTACAGACACGTGTCTTCTGAGCTTCTATGCGCAGTTCCGTCCGCGC